ATTTGGGAAGCCCTGATCGAATGCTTTCTGATGAAATCTCATTACAGACGCGCTAAAGGTTTGTGTGACATTTTCTACCTACGTCATCCTCGGCATAGACGTGATATCCAGCTACCCATTGAAGGAAGTGTTAACTGCTCAGCAGTTATCTCCATGAATCCCCATTGTTGTGAGACAGCCATTGAAAGTGGAAGGTATGAAGGGGCTAGCCGTCTTTGGTCACATGTTTGCGTTCTGTCTCTAGTAGAAAGTGGTACATTATGGCGAGTAATTTTGATCCCGGTAGCTGTGTTGGATGAGAAGCTTAAATCAATTGATGAGTTAGTGAAGTTATATCGGTTAAGGTAGCTTGGACACGTGTTAATTATGCCAAACCATCGCCTTTTACTTCGAGCAATGTAAGCTGATATAGGGTTGGGTTGAAAAAAACCTAAGGGTCGTGTAATCAAAACATGGCGACAATCCGTAAAGTTTTCGGCTGTTGGTTTGAGCCAAGAAGAGGAATGTAGACTTCCTAATTGGAGTCCTCGGGATGCTGAGGACCAATGGTTGGAGACATGCTATAATCGCTTCCATTGGTGCAGATATATTCACTCTTTATCAACTCCTAGATCCATCTAATTCTCATTCTCTATGTACTTTTTTATTATAGCTTGATTCCACACCGTATTTTTGGTACAAGTATGGAATTTTCAGCATGTGATATCGGTAGCCCAAATTTTGCAGGCCGACCAATTGATATCAAGTGTGCGTCGGTAGGGGATCGAACCCCGGACCATTTGCGTGGTCAGCGAGAGTCCTAACCGCTGTGCCTGTATATATCCTTTCATTATAGTTGTTTTGGACTATTTTTTTTCCATCTTTGTGTGCCATATCAACTTAAACATGAATAAATCCATGATACTACCTTCCCCACATAGGAAGTAGGGTCGGAAGATCCATGTGCGATTCCGTCTGGTTTAGTGTTTCAAGGCTGTGGTATCGCAGAGTACGACAGACATTACTTTTAAGCCATCACTTTCATTTCTCATTCAGAAATCACATTGAGCAAAGCGATCTCGGAGTTCTTATGATCACCTAGAAGTAGTTCGAAGGTCTTATTAAAGTCGTATACTTTATGACCAGATGAATTATTACGTGTTTATAACGATCTGAATACTAAATACAACTGTTCTGTCATAAGTACCTTCTACTTTACTAAACCAAAAAAATATCAGAAGACGAAGATTACACTGTGACTGGAAGAAAGAAGTTATTAAACATAAATATACAATATGTATGCACTTCAAACACCCATAAAATCATGCTAAGTCAATGAGTAAATAAATTAATTTGATTAGTTTTATCAGGTCGAAGACCCGGCCCACACAACAACATGAGTCTACAACTGTAATACAAAATCTTCTACCTCTGCATCCAATAGCTTAAAATGTCGATTCTCATTGTAGATGCCTCCTATCGTATACTACATCTGAAGTGCACTTAGTAAGTCTTACGTTCTTCACACTACTTTCAAGTTCATTCACACAACAGAAGGATATGAATCTTAGGTACCCCATAAAATTTAGGTGCGTTTGTTCCTATAGATATCTAAGGATTAGGAATTGAATTAGTCAAACATAATGACTTAGTTCCATCATCTCCGTTACACTCGGAAGAACTAAAAGCCTCTCTTGTTAAAAAATGTTACCGATATCGATGAAGCTATATTGAGAAAAGTATCCTCAGCAAGGCTCAAATTCAAACCTTAAGGAGAATCCGATTAAACGAAAGCATCCTTATAAAGAGACCGCATAAGGAAGCTGGAGTCATATTATTAGATACAGCTGACTACATCGATAAGACGAACGGCAGTAGCCAGTTTACGCCGTCTCTGGCGTAGACGTGATATCCGACTATCGACCAAAGGGCGGGTGTACTGCTCAGCAGTCCGCTCTGTCCTCCTTTATGGCTGTGAGACCTGGCCATTGAGAGTGGAAGACATGAAAAGATTAGCTGTCTTCGATCATAGGTGCCTGCGTTCTATCTCCCGTGTAAAGTGGTATAATAAGGTGAGCAATATTGAGGTTAGGCGTCGAGTGCTAGGTAAGGAGGGAAATCAATCGACGAGGTTGTGAAGTTGCATCTATTGAGATGGTTAGGACATGTGTTACGTATGCCTAGTCATCGCCTCCCTCGACGGCCAATGTTAGCTGACATAGGGTCAGGTTGGAAAAGAGCTAGCGGTGGTCAAACCAAAACATGGCCTCACCAGTCAATGAAATCTACAACAGTTAGTTTAAGCCACGTAGGAAGGTGCAGACTTCCTGGTTGGGGTCCTCGAGACGGTAAAAACCAATGGTTGAAAACAATTGGTGACATGGCTCATAATCGTTCCCAATGACAGCGCAGATGCATCCACTCCTTGTGACTTATGATTTCCAATGAAACTATATTGTTCTTCGTTATTACTATTCCTTTGTCTCACACCTCTGTTTACTGTCTCTATTATGCATTTCTCCTACTTTCTTCTCTTGCTTTGTGTGCTACATGGAGTGTGGCGACTTGAACTGCTGCACATCGGTGCAAAGTTCTATGTCGAAAGCAGACAGACAGACAAATCTAAAATCAAACATCACCGTCCCAAAAACGGCGAACAAGTTAAAACATACACATCTAGAAAAGTTACACGCATGAAACAAAATTCAAATCTAAACTTCTGTTCATTGAAGAAACTCTTCATTGTAGTAGATATTTGGAAGTTTTTCACTGTTACAATTCTAGGAATTTATTTTGAAAAATCTCATGTTTATTTCATGAGAATGATATCAATAAATACAATAAGCCTACTCGTTGTACAATTACGGAAATCAGTCAAGAGATGATAAGAACTGATTATAAATGACATTTCTTTTTCTCTACATAACATGCATATGTTAGTTTAAGCTAAAAAATTTTATCGTAAGAAGGAGAAAAAAAGACTTTTTTCTGATAAACTGAAAATCAACGAAATGGTTGTATGATCTAGAGTTGAAAGTACTGCAGCATAATAAATCGTAGCAAAACCCACTAGTAACAAACCAAAAACACAAACACATACTTCCTTAGGTTATAACCAACAGTAAAAACAAAACAAAAAAGAATGAAATAGTTCACAATTATTTTAACTGTTAATTGTAACATGTCCTCACTAAAAACAGTCACAAATGAGTGATAAGTATCCCTTCATAACCATCTCTATAAGTCTAGTGTCTTAGTTATGGACGAAGAATCACGGGGTTCAATAGTCAGTCGGGCAGGCAAATCAACAGTAACCTGGAGAGATATCCGGCTCAAACGATTATATTCCCGAGGACTGATTGAACACTTGGGTGTAATATTTCATCAGTCCCTGATACACAGTTATCACATATGAATGGTATTTGTAATGCTGACTAAATAGATACGGGTGAAAACAGATGCACGTGTTGCCTTCATGACATACATTTAGGACAGGTTCTATGGTTACATGTCAAGGGATTTCAAGATATTTTCATAAAATACCATGCGAATAAGAATAAACGCCTAAGTGAAGATTTTGATCAATATACGTATGACTAAAGAGTTACAATTCGGTGAACTATTCGAGTATAGATTAATGACAATTCACTATGACAAGTATTGTTCCACACTGAACTAACTGTTTTTCTCACATTAGCTAACTCTCCTTCAATCAGGCACACTTCGAAGCAGATTTCATGAAAGCTCTAGGGATATATATATATATATATCACAAATGCTGACTTGTCAGCTACAATCAGGGTTGTTTCTTCAATCATATAAAAGGAAACCAACAAACAAGGAATAAAATTGAACATTGAAATTCGCACAGAAGTGATGCAGTTTAAGTTATCTAACTCCATATTGCACACAAATGTAGAAGGGAAACAGGCAATAAGACTAGAATGGACAGAAATGTTAACGACGAAAAATAATTACATGAAAGACAACGAGAATTCGATGAATCAACGGGTTTCCAAAGAGGGAACGCATCCACACCATGTAGATTGCCTTTGCGTCATACTATCAGAAGTCATGCTGACGCGAGGATACCAACAAAATAGTTTACACCTGCCAAAAAGGATTCATGCAGGGTCTTCATTGCACCAACCTGAATACTTTTCCAACCTAATGCTGGGTTACCTAACATTATTTGATGACAAAGACAGTGCCTTGGCATCAGTGACACGTGTCCTGGTCATCTCAACGATGCAGCTTCACAACATTATCGCCTGACTCAATAACTCACTGACTTCCACACCTTACCTGACATTCTAAACCTAACCTCAATATCATCGTACATCGTGTTATGCCACTTCACACGAGACACAGAACACAAACATCTCTGGTCAGAGACGACTAGTCCGTTCATTTCTCCCACTTTCATCGGACACTTCACACAGCCATAAAGACGACAGAGCAAACTGCTGTGTAGTACACACGTCCTCTAATGGATGGCCGGATATCACTTCTACACCGAAGACGACGCAAGTTGACCAATGACATCCGAGCCTTTCATATCCAAGTTGAGATTCCATCACCAATCAGGTCGTTACGACTCACGCGACATCTCAAATAAATGAAGTGGTCAACACGCTCAACCAATTCACTCCCCATATTTGAATTACAGTCCGTGAGAACTCGTTCTGTAGCATCCTATTTGATGGGGGCTATTCTCATGCCAAACGTACTGAGAATTCTGGTCCCGGTGTTTACAAGGACTATATCATCCACATACCATAAATCATCGCACCTGTAGTAAGCACCATGGTAAACTGAAAATCCTGCCCTAGAGTCAAATTCAAGTGATCAGAATGATGGCTACTTTTGGTGACAGGGTTATATTATCCATATTACTATGAAGGCTTCAAATAGAAAAGTTTCCACTTCTAAAGACAGCTGAAGCAAAAGGAATCCACCTGAAGAAGCCAAACCTGTGTGTGCCTTGGCCATAGTTACATGAATGTGTAAACCGGACTACTTTGCCCCCTCCTCCTAAGCCTTTAAAATTACAAAAATTATAATTGTCTCAATTATTTTTTCTGACCACTTCATCTTTAATTACGTGTTATCCTTGTAAAATTAATTTATTCTATCCATTTCTACTTTTTAAATGTGTATTGATTTTCGGCGTTAATTATCAACCCATTGACATTTTGACACTGACTAATTATTGTTAACAAACATATCGCCACTTGTTTGGTAAACTGTTGTGTATTGTAATAAAAATGCTATGTATATTAGAGTAGAGCCAGAGATGAGGATCTAACTGAAAAGTAAATATTTCTTAGCTCAATCTTTCAGTCTTCGATACGTCATGTTATGCGAATATGAATTTAGGTATTTATAATGCGAAGATGAAAACTGCGAATAAAAACATACAAGTACATTGACAGAAAAATGCATAGGCTGTTTACTCAGTGAAAGAGACGGGATTCTTATTACATGACTGTATTTAACTGTACATTCATCCAACGCACATTATTCGTAAGACTTATGAGTGAGTATGTGCCAATACAATTGATCACAAAGTTGCTTGTTTTCTAACTTCTCCTAGATGAAATCGGTCACTATATATCACATTCAATTTTGTCCATTGAAACAGTCATTAAAGACGATTTGCATTCAGAATATTTATACAGTAGTAAGCATATACACAAAAATAGATAGAATTATGAGTGTTTCCTTTTCTTGGATTTTGAGAAAGAGCTATGGTAATTTGTATACACTGATGATTGGGAAGAGCTTGGCTTTTCTGTGGATCTGAAAAAAAAGATAAAAATCAAAGTCAAGAAGTATTGCGTCTTGATAATTTCACATACAAAATTAAATCAAATAGTGAATTATAAACAACAGGACCTAGTACAATAACGTATTGCCGTACTAGTGACGCAAATAAGACCTGATAGGAAATTTACAAACACGAGTAAACGGTAACACCATATATAATAAACAGATTAGTGACGATTACAACGCATAGAATTTAGCGTAAAGCATTCGTCGCAATCGTCTTGCAGAGTCCATTCATTAAGTCTTTAACCTCATCATTGCAAATCACTGAGAATGTAAATCAGGAGTACTGTTTACATCCATGCACCTGCTAATTAACCACGCCTATTAGATGATGACAGCCAATATACTTCCGTTAGCAATCTCTCTCTCCACCCTGTTATATAGGATTTCAAAACTATCACCTTATCCCATCCTATTGTATGGTTGTGTGTAATTACATGTAGTGCTACCAGAGATGGAAGCCCTAAAACACCTTAAGAATAACAAGGATACAGTAATCAAAAAGTCAGACTAAGGAAATGCAACAGTAATATCAGACAAATCAGACTATTTGAACAAGGTGAATACTCACATACAAACCGGACCATATGAGGAAATTAATGTATCAATAGACACCATTATGAATAAGGTTAAGAAATCCACAGCGGACCTTATTCGCCGAATGAAGCCGTTTCTAGGTGATTCTAAATGGTTTAATTTAATGCCCGAAACTAATAACCCCAGTAGGACGTATGGTGTTGTTAAAGTTCATAAGATAGGATACCCTATTAGACCTATAGTTGATTTTAGAAATTCACCTACTTATGAATTATCTAAATATTTAGCTACGGTACTAAACCCTCTTAAAAGACACTCAAAATCTAGACTAACAAATTCTTATGAACTAAAATTAGACAATGAAGAAAAATGTTCAGTTTTGATATTGTCAGTCTATATACACGTATACCAATAAATATGGCTTTAGAGGCTGTCAGAAACGAACTCATTTCTCACCAAGAACTCGAACTTAGAACAAAAGTGCCACTTGAGGCAGCTATGCATGACTTCTACAGTATTTAAATTCCAAGGGAAAATATACAAACAAACTGAGGGAGTTGCCATGGGATCACTAATATCCCCAATAGTGGCAGATATATTCATGGATAGGTGAGAAAACTTAGCGATTGAAACGTTTAGCCCCACCCTAAAAGTATGGTGGAGGTATGTAGATGACACATTCACCATACTTAGAACACATAATATAAACAGATTTCTCGAACACATCAACTCGAAGGTGCAGGCAATTCAATTGACTTATGAATTGGAAATTCAGGAAGGGGAACTTTCAATGTTAGATTGTAGCGTAAAAAGGAAAGAAGATGGGAACTTAAACCTAGTGTTTACAGGAAACCCACACATTCAAACCGATATTTGGATCTACAGTCATCCCAATCTATGTCAGTAAAATAGGATTGCTGAAATGTTTAAGTAATAGGGCACAAAAACTAAGTAGTACGAAGGAAAATCCAAGACAGGAAGTAAGCCATATATGAGAAGCTTTGGAACTTAATAATTACCCTGACAAATTAATCAGGAAGTATGAAGGGAAATGTTAAACTAAAATAAGCAATAATAGTAGCAATTGTGATAATGGTAGTAATATTAATGACGATATGCGTGTCAAACGTGCGCAGGATAATGACAACACCAACAATAGGGAATACAAATCATAAGTACTACTTCCATACAAAGAAGGAACCTCGGAAACGTTACGGAGAATTCTTAACAAGGCAGGAATAACAGTGGTATTCAAACCCACAAACTCAATTAGAAATGAGCTGTGTCGGTTAAAGGATCCTGTGGAGCCCATCAAACAAAACAATTTAGTTTATCTAATACCCTGTTGGAATGATTATCAGGTCAAATACATACGTCAAAGTAGTAGAACAAATGCAGTCAGACTACCTGAGCATAAAAACCTAGCAAAATCTAGATTAGTTGACCCGAATGGGATGAGAAACCTAGAAAATAGTTCAGCCGTAGATAACACTACATGCAATTACACACAACTATACAATAGGATAAGATGAAAATTCGAAAGTCTAATGTATCAGGCTGGAGGGAGAGATTGGTAAGAAAAGTCTTATTCATCAAATCAACTGAGAGAGAGTACGTGTAGTAGTAGGAATGATTCACCACATGCCCCGGATATTTGAAAAATTCTATTACCCCTATGACGAATGGGACTAGATAAGAAAAAAAACCCATAAAACTGAGGTTTCGAAGTTGTGTGATTATAATTTATATGATTATGAAGAATAAAATGTGTTCTAAACGTCATCCAGTAAATAATATCGTTTCACTGTATGAAAACCATCGGGACTGAGTACTCACTCTTCGCATGAAGCTGTTCAAACAACGGTATTCACTACTTGAAAGTAAAGTAATCCAGACAGTAGGAATACCGGGAGAAAGTTGGCCACATTTAACAAGTATGTCCAAGATCTGTAAAACCCGAGAGGTCGGAGTATTGTCTCACTTAATGATACGACTACATATTTGTTCTGAAAGTGAAGTGAACAAAAGGGAGTCACATGTATGAAGTATTATGGAGACTGAGAAGACTGCTCGAAATGTGCAGGAGAAACAGATAGGAAAGTAAGATATTAGTGTGATATATACAAAGGATAATGAACTTAAAGTTCACCAGAAATCGTACGAGGTAAAACAACAGAAAAGAGAATAACAAAATTGCTCAGGATCAATAACGAAATCAAACAAATTTTTCTCCGATTTAACTACAAAACTTTGGAGCATGAAATGAAACAATGACTGAAATTAATTTTAAGATATACCAGTTGGTACTTGTTATGAAAATAATAATACTATAAGTAAATGAAAGAATTCATCAAATAAGAAAATAAATTAATAGCCTTAAAGAACTTGTACCTCATTTTCCGTTTCTTTTTAGTTCGTTGAGTTATACAGAAATCGCTTTCATTGGCTTCAATATTATGTGAAGAGGAGGAAGCTGTACACGACGCATTATAATAGGAATCAGGAGGTTGAGACTTCGACCGTTGTTTCTTACTTTTCTCCTCCTCCTTCGGTATTGCTCCAAGTGAAGACAAAAACTGGATATACGATCCACTTAACTTGACCACTTTCTTGCGCTTGAAATCGTTTCCTACATGATAAATAAGTAAATAACTCCTGTAACCATACATCTGAATAAGCGATATACATATATATATATATATTGTTGATTACGTAATGCAGCTTTCTTCAGTTTCGGTACACTACCCAATTGCCTGTATGATGAGATAAAACGCATTATCGTCTCATATTGATATATTCGTGGACGTCAACTAAAGTTTAAGTTAACTTGGGTAGAACTATGGGTCTGTAATTCAATTTGATCCCTAAAATTACTTCAAATTACTTTTGCATGTTGAGCGCGTATGGATGAAGGTCTTTAGAAGTCGAAACTTTTCTGTTTGAAGCCTTCATAGTGATATGGATAATATAACCCTGTCACCAAAAGTAGCCATCATTCTGATCACTTGAATTTGACTCTAGGGCAGGATTTTCAGTGTACCGTGGTATGGAATGTGGATGATATAGTCCTTGTAAACACCGGGGCCAGGATTCTCAGTACGTTTGGCATGAGATTAGCCCCCATCAAATAGGATGCTACAGAACGAGTTCTCACGGACTGTAATTCAAATATGGGGAGTGAATTGGTTGAGCGTGTTGACCACTTCATTTATTTGATATGTCGCGTGAGTCGTAACGACCTGATTGGTGATGGAATCTCAACTTGGATATGAAAGGCTCGGATGTCATTGGTCAACTTACGTCGCCCTTGGTGTCGAAGTGATATCCGGCCATCCATTAGAGGACGTGTATACTACACAGCAGTTTGCTCTGTCGTCCTTTATGGCTGTGTGAAGTGGCCGATGAAAGTGGGAGAAATGAACGGACTAGTCGTCTCTGACCAGAGATGTTTGTGTTCTGTGTCTCGTGTGAAGTGGCATAACACGATGTACGATGATATTGAGGTTAGGTTTAGAATGTCAGGTAAGGTGTGGAAGTCAGTCAGTGAGTCGATGATGTTGTGAAGCTGCATCGTTGAGATGACCAGGACACGTGTCACTGATGCCAAGGCACTGTCTTTGTCATCAAATAATGTTAGGTGACACAGTATTAGCTTGAAAAAGAGTTCAGGGTAGTGAAACCTAATTCTGATATTATTGTATGACGTCTTTGGCAGTTTGGTCTTCAGGAAGCTAAGATTATTAGTGACGTGATGCAGATAAACTCCCTGTTTGTGTGTTCCCATATCCATTAGTCCCTCATAATTTCCTATGTTACTATTCTTTCCCGAGCACATTTTGCTCATTATAGTTCTTTCGCATCTCTTTTCTCTCTACACAGTGTGGAGACTTGGACTGTTTCACTTACATACAAAAATTTACATTGAAATTCAGTCCGTCAGTCAGTAAGGCATATGACGAGAAATTTTGTTTAAAAAACTTAAAAAATTAACGATTACCACATCCAGACTAGCTACGAAGCTATGAATTCGTGCTGTCCATTTAAAAAGAAATCCATAGAATGCTTCTAATTCATGATACACAGGTTTGCGTACGAAACAATAAGTCACACGTACTACATAAAAGCTATAAATAATACGAATTGGCCGTCAAAATCAGTGTGGATTTTTTAGGGTGTTTGAGCCGCTGACCCATTCTCTGGCTTAATCCAATGAGCTATATTTTCACTTTTTTAAAAGGAATTTCTTAATTACGAGGAAAGACACACCATGAAGAGTTAATATACACTTAGAATTACCAGGACAAAAAACACACAACTTAAATGAAATAACTGTGTAAAAACCACTATTCATTATTCAGTATACAACATACTGTGTGAAAGAATGCAACAAAACATCCAGAGTAAATTTTAATAAGAAACATGGTGGTTGAATGCAGATATCTTAAATATTGCGGTATTACACTATTGTTACATTAGTTATAATTCATGCCGAAATATAAAATATCCATTGGATGACAGATTAAGGACTTACCCACACATGGTGACGAAGATGTTACGTACGGCACTGTTTGTTTCATCAATCTTTCACTATGTTTACCATTGTGGGCTTTATAGAATTTGTTGAAACGTTCACCGAGATTCTTAACTTTTGCTTTTTTGTTTTTCTTTTTCTTCGTTTTTTGTGGCTGAGAAGATTTTTGTGCTTTACTGGTGCTATTATTGTCCGCTTCTTCCGATATCTCCATCTTTTTCTTCTTTCCTTTCTTTTTAGCACGAATTCGTGCTAAATCTGTACGGAGAGACTCGTATATGTCTTTTTTATCGTACACTGTAACTCTTCTTTTTGGTAAAGGACCAAGGAATTGTGACCTGAAGGGCTTGCAGCGACAATCCTTCAAGGAGATAGATAAAATTATTATTATTAAAAACAAACCAAAAAAAAATAATAAAACGCTGGTATAATTTAAGGAAGTCAATGATGTCGATGCGCAGAAAATGGATTGTTTGGTGAAAATAATAATTTTAGAAGCCACCAGTTTGAACTGTGACGTGATTCAGATTTCCGTTTCATCTTTATTGATTACCTTGCATAATGACGACCTGTTCGAAAATGAAAACCCTATATCAGACACAACTAACTGATAATATTCAAACAATATGACTGTTTCTATGGTACTGGATGATTGAAGACGAACATGCCCTAAACAACGTGTATAAATTACTTTTCATATGTCAAACTGAATTCTTAACGATGACGCACACAAATAAACAGGGTAAAGTAGAAAACATAAGGTTTAATACCGAAACAGAGACCAGCATTACTATGCGCTAGGAAAACCACATTTCAGCATATGCAGTTGAATACTACAGAAGTTCGGGATAGGCTTTTGCGAAAAAACAGAAACATCTTAGTTTCCATTTTCGTAATTAACTGAAGACTATAATTCCCCCATAAATCTTTACAAAGTTAAATTATTATCCAATCTCGTTAATCTGTTTAGACTACCAAAAACACCTGTTGGATTACACATTCGAAAGCAGAAGTACCTTTTGGAATACGGGTAAGTACGTGGTGCACTCATCTATTACAATTGGCTTATGGTTCGCTACCAGACTACGACATCCGTAAACGTTTCTAACTTTAATTAATTATCTTGAAAGCAAGATATAAACAAGTGATGGGCAAATGTATAAAAAGGTAAATTGATAAAATAGGCTAAATCTGACAAATAAAAATATCCACAATGGATCAGACTCATCAAGTACAAAACATACTATTTTATTTTATTTATTTTTTTATTATAGCTCTATTCCACACCGTATTTCTGGTACAAGTATGGAATTTTCAGGATGTGATATCGGTAGCCCAAATTTTGCAGGCCGACAGATTGATATCGGGTGTGCGTCGGCAGGGGATCGAATCCCGGACCATATCCATGGTCGGCGAGAGTCCTAACTGCTGTACCACCGACGCACAAGAGAAGAAAAGATTTCCAACTCTCAAAAATGCATGTGAGTGGACGATTTTTAAATCAATAAGATTAATGTGAACTACTTAAAAAAACCGTAGCTGTGGGGTAAACCTCATCAGGAGTAACAAATCAGCGATAATGAGTAAAGTCGACGAACCAGCTGAATGAGAAACCAGCAATGTATATTTTAAAAATATCGAACTTCCTGACAAAATCTTTTACTCGACTATTAATTCGCTACTTATGGCGATCAAGGGGACAGTATTTTTCTTCAGTCAGACGAGGCGCCAATTTACAAAAATGGTGTCCCATGATCTTTTATTTTTATTGATTTACAGCTTGATTCCACACCGTATTTTCAGCACAAGTGTGGAATTTTCAGCATGGATATCGGTAGCCCAAATTCAGGCCGACCATAGATATCGGGTGTGCGCCGGCAGGGGATCGAACCCCGGACCATGTGCATGGTCGCTTAGGTGTTACGTTATCTTTTCATTGATCTTATTAAGAGTCTACATTGCAACAACTTTTGTCATCTAGTTATTTTTTGCACACTACTTTAGTATTCTATTACCGTGCAGATTTGGAATGTCGTAACTTTCTATTGGTTCAACTGGTCTCTTAATTAATATACCTGAATACAATATTTACACAGACATTAAATTTAATGGGAATTGAAATTAGATTATAAATGCATAAAAACAGTAGACTGTTATTTCTTTTTTTAAACAATAGAAAAAAAATAATAGTCACTTGAATGCAACACCTACTTCAACAGTATGACCCATTCGCCCACAGTTACAACAACCTTTCGACTGTACATTGTAGTGCAAGCGTACTGGTTTACCTTCAGTTGTCTATATAGGAGACACATCAAAACAAACTTTAACACAGTTAATATAATATGAAAAGCAAAATGAAACAAATATTAGCATAAGCGTGAATATTAAAAACAATAACAATAACAACAAAACAATAATCACACCTCCCCTTAATGTAGTGCAGGGAAGGGATATAATGGAGAATACTGTAACATAGTGAAACTGTCAACAAAACCTCAAATATTAGTCTTTTTTTCTCCTTCACGTTCCCCATTGGAAAATAGGGCTTCACGCTAGTGGCTTGAAGTTTCTGTAGCAGTGTTTATTTTACAGGATGGGGTTGCTAGCCTCATACCCAACCTTTCCTCTTTACCAGCATTATTTCTGGCTCAGCGAGGTAAAGGAGTACATCGGCCGGGGATCGAACCTCGGCCCATGTGCATGGTCGGCGAGCGTCCTAACCGCTATACCACCGACTCACAAATATTAGTCATTACGAAATATGAACCAAACACCATCTACAACATGGAACATGGATTGAAATTTGAATACTTCAACCACTAGAAAAGACCCTTCAGCAATGCATGTATCCAAGGTCGTTAGATCTTTGAACAAAAAAATATGTGGCCATTCAGCCAATAGGTCAAGAAGACTTAACTGCTTCTTTGGTTATCTATCGTTTGCTAACAATGGAAATTAATCAATTAATTCATTAATGCAACTCAGTTTTCTTATGCGACACCATACGAATCACAGTTAGTCACGTGAGAGTTTATCATACCAAAGACGATTTTAAACCCATAAATTAGTAGAGAGAAGTTGAGAATCACAGTGCAGATGAGAAACACTCCAGATGGATGACGATAACGGCTTTCACAAATATCTCTGACAATAAAAGAGACGGAACACAATATCTTCAACGTTTAATGCTAGTTAATTTATGCTTAATTTATGGTTAATCAAAAAAAAAAAAAAAATTAGAAATATGTGAGGCATAAAATCACCTTGTGAAGAATCAATATCAACTCAAAATACTGTAAAGCAAAATGAGCTAAAAGGTATCGGTTAATGGTGAGAAGAACAAGAAGAAGAAAAAGTAAAAGTACCAAGGCTTTGTCTTTCGATCAATTCTCCTTCTTTAATATTATTGTGCAAAAGCATTAAGAATAAATTATAGATTAGAAGTCTAATGAAATTTTGAAAATTAAAATTATTCAGTAGATATGAAGTAACGAAACAAGTGTATACTCTGATTGGACGAGTGCCAAGTAGCACGAAATGTAGGTCCAAGGCTTCCTACCGATCGACTGTAACCACCTAATATCATCAAATCAATGTACACTGTGATGGCGAGCTACCTAGAATGGTGGCCACATTGTGAACCTGATTGGTAGACGTCAGTCTGCACCAAAAAAAGGACTAAGCATATCACACTAGGTCACTAGTGTCCAATCAAAGTATCCAATACAGTCCTACAGGAGGTCAATCGTGAGCCCGAATAGCTCAGTGGTAACCTCTCTGACTCCAGCACTGGGTGACGCGGGTTCGCATCACTGTTTACAAAAACCATAATACTGAAAAGTTTATCTACGCAAAAGAAATGTCTACTGTTAAGTAATTCGGACAATAGAAGGTGATGCAACGTTGTACCCTGAATGTTCACTTTCTTCTAAATATTCTTTGCAGAGACACATAGTAGCAGTAGACTCCTTAATTGGGCTTCTACTACTAACCTAATTAAAAGAAAAGAAGGCGTTCAGCGAAGAGACTCTTTTCGGCGAATTCATTCACTTAGCTGTACAATCGCATATTTATACAATTTTGTTTGTGTGTGTGTGTACATTAGATTTATAAAGTTTAGATAATTATGTAATATAAGCAATTTTTGGCTTGGAAACAAACGTTAAGATGGAAAATAAAATAGAATTGATTAAGTGAGTAGAATTCAGATGAGGTCAGGTTGGAAACAGTGTTAATGAGTGGTGTTTAAAATCAAGTAAGGGTGGGGTTAGAGAATAATACAGTTGAAAATAAGTAAGTTAATCGGATGACGTAACTCAGTTGACTAGAAATTGGACGTGGGTCAAGTTAGTAACATTGTTAATGAGGGTAGAGATTACAAAAGGGTGGGGTAGAGAATAATATAAGTGAAGATGTGAAATAATAAAATGCAAGAGACAAAATAATACAATTAGTAAGACTGAAATTAAGAAAGATTACGTCCATTGTAGATTTAATGAATGAACGAATTTCTTTTGTATGCAAAGTTCAGGATTTAGCAGATGAATTGCCATTGCTTCTGCGATGTGGAGAAGTTTGATCCGTACACTTTTAGCAAGATTGCCTTGTATTCTGTAGATAACTTTGAAGTTTATTTCTGGTTTGACTTGGTGTCCAGAGTCGATCAAATGTTCAAGGATAGAGCTGCGGGGGCATCGGTTTTCTCCTTTATAAAACCATGAAGGTAAATGTTCGTTGACGCGTTTGGATAGCGAACGCTGAGTACGGCCGATATACCTGGCTCCACACGAGCAGGTGAATTGGTAGATGCACATAGATGAGGCCAACAGCGGTAGCTTATCCTTCACGGACATACGAATCATTGGTCTCGCGGAGAACGTCAGTCGTAATTCAGCTGCAACGAAGGTTTTCTTCAATGAGCGGGAGAGCCGATTTCTCAGTATTTCTGTAGATTGGTCTCCATTGAACTGCAGGTTCATATAGAGAAGTCTTTTTGGAGCACTGGGTGTGGACGGCTTCTCTGGTCTGGGTTTCATTGATTTTGTGATAAATCTTTCTGGATAGCCATTTTCAAGGAGGATTTTCTTAAGAGTGTTCATTTCATCTTCTATGGCGTCCAGGCTGCAAATTCTACGTATTCTGTGGCTTAGTGAACGGATTAAGTTTCGTTTAGTATATAGAGGTACCCAACTGTGGAAGTTATTGAGCTGTCCGTTCCACGTTGGCTTTCTGTAGATGGATCTTTTTAATGTCCCGTCTTGTTGGCGTCTCGTCAGTTGAACGTCAAGAAAAGATATCTTTGAGTTAGACTCTTTCTCTAGCGTGAACTGAATCGCAGGGTGGCAGTTGTTGAAGAACTTCAGGATATCTTCTAAATTCTCTTCGTTGTTGCAGATGATGAAGGTGTCGTCGACGTATCTCTTGTAGAGTTCAAAGTTGTCAATCATATTCTTTAAACAAGTGTTTTCGAGTTTTGACATAAAGAAATCCGCAAGCAGAGGGCCTAGTGGTGAGCCCATAGCTATACCATCCTTTTGGCGATATATTTCATTGTTAAAGGAGAACTGGACGTTTAGGGTGCATCTCAGCAGAAGTTCTTTTAGATAGTCGGTGGGTATGCCGATGTTTACTCCTTCTGAGTGGATGAGCTCGCATATGTGACAGATTGTTTCAGTTAGTGGAACATTTGTAAACAATGAGACAGCATCTAGTGAGATCATCGTTTGATTAGAAACATTGACGTTTTCGACGCAGTTGACGAATTCAAATGAATCTCGCACTGAGTGACGGGAGACCTGTTTTCTGATTGGCTCAAGTAGGTCTGCTAGCCATTGGGCAGTGCGGTGGTAAGGTGAATTAGTCATGTCGAGGATCGGTCGAAGTGGAGTGCCCATCTTGTGTACTTTAGGAAGTCCGTAGAGTCTAGGTATATTTGAACCAGATGGTTTCAGGGATTCAAACGTTTCGTTGGTAATGAAGGATTCGTTCTTCAGTTTACGGAGGATGTCTGTTAGTTTTTGTTCACTCTGCTCCGTCATGTTTTTCTCGTTGGCTGGTTTGGTGAATTTAGATTCATCAGATAGAATGCTCAACATTTTACTGATATAATCCTTACGGTTCATGATTACGATTCCTCCACCTTTATCAGGACGTATCAGCATAATCTCTTCATTGTTCATCAATTCTTTCAGCTCTTTGTAGTGTTTCTTCGTTAGTACGGATCTTCCGTTTGTATTGCCATTTATAAATTTGTGGCAACAGTCGAGGACAGTTGATTTGAATTGTTGTAGGTTCTCATCGGACGTTGGTATCAAGTTATAGGTTTGGTTTATCAGGTTTTCAAATTGAACCAGGCATTGAAGCTTGTGAATATTTCGTGGTTTTACGCAGAACTTCGGACCAAGAGATAACACCTCTAGTTGAGCTGTGGATAGTGTGTTGTTTGAGAGGTTGAATACATACTTTTCTGGATTGCTTGGGAACGGACGTTCGGTGTTAACTGAAGGCTTTAGGCTCTTAAGAAGGTCAGATTTAATGTTGTCGCATTGTTTCTCTGTGACTTCTTTTACATATTCTTCGAAGGGTTGGCGTAGTTCTGGATCTAAGTCTTCAACTACATGAGCACGTGAGTAGACATTTCGTTCTAGCTCAGGAATACGTGATTGAATGGAGTCGATGTTGTTTAGCGTATGTCGTCTCAGCGTTCTGGTGTTCGGATGAATGTGGTTGCGTCTGAGTGATTTCCAGTACATCTTTGGGTATTCATGTTTATCTGCACACTCTCTTAAGAAGTTCACCTTAGTCTTCGCTACTGCAAGTTTGACGGAGTAACGTAGGAAACCATCCAGCTCCTTCACCGTCCGTGGGTCCTTGCGACGTTTAAGTAACTTGAAAATCCCCATTCAGTCATATAAAAGAAAAGAAGGCGTTCAGAAGGCGTTCTTTTATATGACTGAATGGGGATTTTCAAGTTACTTAAACGTCGCAAGGACCCACGGACGGTGAAGGAGCTGGATGGTTTCCTACGTTACTCCGTCAAACTTGCAGTAGCGAAGACTAAGGTGAACTTCTTAAGAGAGTGTGCAGATAAACATGAATACCCAAAGATGTACTGGAAATCACTCAGACGCAACCACATTCATCCGAACACCAGAACGCTGAGACGACATACGCTAAACAACATCGACTCCATTCAATCACGTATTCCTGAGCTAGAACGAAATGTCTACTCACGTGCTCATGTAGTTGAAGACTTAGATCCAGAACTACGCCAACCCTTCGAAGAATATGTAAAAGAAGTCACAGAGAAACAATGCGACAACATTAAATCTGACCTTCTTAAGAGCCTAAAGCCTTCAGTTAACACCGAACGTCCGTTCCCAAGCAATCCAGAAAAGTATGTATTCAACCTCTCAAACAACACACTATCCACAGCTCAACTAGAGGTGTTATCTCTTGGTCCGAAGTTCTGCGTAAAACCACGAAATATTCACAAGCTTCAATGCCTGGTTCAATTTGAAAACCTGATAAACCAAACCTATAACTTGATACCAACGTCCGATGAGAACCTACAACAATTCAAATCAACTGTCCTCGACTGTTGCCACAAATTTATAAATGGCAATACAAACGGAAGATCCGTACTAACGAAGAAACACTACAAAGAGCTGAAAGAATTGATGAACAATGAAGAGATTATGCTGATACGTCCTGATAAAGGTGGAGGAATCGTAATCATGAACCGTAAGGATTATATCAGTAAAATGTTGAGCATTCTATCTGATGAATCTAAATTCACCAAACCAGCCAACGAGAAAAACATGACGGAGCAGAGTGAACAAAAACTAACAGACATCCTCCGTAAACTGAAGAACGAATCCTTCATTACCAACGAAACGTTTGAATCCCTGAAACCATCTGGTTCAAATATACCTAGACTCTACGGACTTCCTAAAGTACACAAGATGGGCACTCCACTTCGACCGATCCTCGACATGACTAATTCACCTTACCACCGCACTGCCCAATGGCTAGCAGACCTACTTGAGCCAATCAGAAAACAGGTCTCCCGTCACTCAGTGCGAGATTCATTTGAATTCGTCAACTGCGTCGAAAACGTCAATGTTTCTAATCAAACGATGATCTCACTAGATGCTGTCTCATTGTTTACAAATGTTCCACTAACTGAAACAATCTGTCACATATGCGAGCTCATCCACTCAGAAGGAGTAAACATCGGCATACCCACCGACTATCTAAAAGAACTTCTGCTGAGATGCACCCTAAACGTCCAGTTCTCCTTTAACAATGAAATATATCGCCAAAAGGATGGTATAGCTATGGGCTCACCACTAGGCCCTCTGCTTGCGGATTTCTTTATGTCAAAACTCGAAAACACTTGTTTAAAGAATATGATTGACAACTTTGAACTCTACAAGAGATACGTCGACGACACCTTCATCATCTGCAACAACGAAGAGAATTTAGAAGATATCCTGAAGTTCTTCAACAACTGCCACCCTGCGATTCAGTTCACGCTAGAGAAAGAGTCTAACTCAAAGATATCTTTTCTTGACGTTCAACTGACGAGACGCCAACAAGACGGGACATTAAAAAGATCCATCTACAGAAAGCCAACGTGGAACGGACAGCTCAATAACTTCCACAGTTGGGTACCTCTATATACTAAACGAAACTTAATCCGTTCACTAAGCCACAGAATACGTAGAATTTGCAGCCTGGACGCCATAGAAGATGAAATGAACACTCTTAAGAAAATCCTCCTTGAAAATGGCTATCCAGAAAGATTTATCACAAAATCAATGAAACCCAGACCAGAGAAGCCGTCCACACCCAGTGCTCCAAAAAGACTTCTCTATATGAACCTGCAGTTCAATGGAGACCAATCTACAGAAATACTGAGAAATCGGCTCTCCCGCTCATTGAAGAAAACCTTCGTTGCAGCTGAATTACGACTGACGTTCTCCGCGAGACCAATGATTCGTATGTCCGTGAAGGATAAGCTACCGCTGTTGGCCTCATCTATGTGCATCTACCAATTCACCTGCTCGTGTGGAGCCAGGTATATCGGCCGTACTCAGCGTTCGCTATCCAAACGCGTCAACGAACATTTACCTTCATGGTTTTATAAAGGAGAAAACCGATGCCCCCGCAGCTCGATCCTTGAACATTTGATCGACTCTGGACACCAAGTCAAACCAGAAATAAACTTCAAAGTTATCTACAGAATACAAGGCAATCTTGCTAAAAGTGTACGGATCAAACTTCTCCACATCGCAGAAGCAATGGCAATTCATCTGCTAAATCCTGAACTTTGCATACAAAAGAAATTCGTTCATTCATTAAATCTACAATGGACGTAATCTTTCTTAATTTCAGTCTTACTAATTGTATTATTTTGTCTCTTGCATTTTATTATTTCACATCTTCACTTATATTATTCTCTACCCCACCCTTTTGTAATCTCTACCCTCATTAACAATGTTACTAACTTGACCCACGTCCAATTTCTAGTCAACTGAGTTACGTCATCCGATTAACTTACTTATTTTCAACTGTATTATTCTCTAACCCCACCCTTACTTGATTTTAAACACCACTCATTAACACTGTTTCCAACCTGACCTCATCTGAATTCTACTCACTTAATCAATTCTATTTTATTTTCCATCTTAACGTTTGTTTCCAAGCCAAAAATTGCTTATATTACATAATTATCTAAACTTTATAAATCTAATGTACACACACACACAAACAAAATTGTATAAATATGCGATTGTACAGCTAAGTGAATGAATTCGCCGAAAAGAGTCTCTTCGCTGAACGCCTTCTTTTCTTTTATATAACCTAATTAAGCCTCAATTGGAAAATGACAAAATTAAATAATATTGTAGATGGAATTATAACGATTTCACTTTATGATGAAAGCTTGTGAACAAAACAGTCAAGAAATATGTGTGAGTACAGCCAACGATTAGAGTACAACTTGTGCTGGGACGTTTACATAAGATATCTTTTCTCCACACTGAAAGAAGGAGGAAAGACTGGCTGTATGCACCACAAACAATTTCGTAAAAGACAATCTATGCGATTCTAAAGATGTTCCTTCTTATGGAAGAAAAGGAAGTCAATGGCCAGGTTATTAATGTGCATGAACCGATTGAGGATATGCTCAGAAGCTTCAATCGATGAGGGTTTACGCGACTTAATCAACCTGTTTCTCGGAGATGGATATCAAATGACAGTAATAACAGCGATGAAGTGTAAGTAGCACAAAATTTAATAACTTCAATCTTTCAAACTAGAAATAACCTGACTGAAACTCTCCGAAAAAAGACTCTAACAATCGTTAAAGATGTTCTCGGCAGCAAATCGAACTTCGGTGGGTGCGTACTGCTGAAGAGTCCCAAATTAGGACGAAACAGCTGTCCAGTACTCCCAGGTTTTCCAATGGTTCTCTAACCAATGTCAGCTCACGATGAAATCCTGTAACAAATCTGATACTGAGCACAAGGTTGATGTGAATACTGCATTTAAAATTATTTATCGCATTCCGACTAATCTTAACTTTGCTCTACGAGTTCGTCTTCTACAGACAGGTGAAGCCATCGGAATCCACCAGAAGAAACCAAGCCTATGTGTACAGAAGAAATTTGTACAGCCACTTTCCTTACCGTGGCCATCGTTACAAGACAGGACTACGTTGCCCTCCTCCCCCTATTAAATTATAATTATCCAAATTATTTTATTTTTATTTTGACCACTTTAACTTTAATTACGTGTTATTCTTGTAAAATTAATTTATTCTATCCATTTCTACTTTTTAAATGTGTATTGATTTTCTTCGTTAATTATCAACCCATTGACATTTTGACACTGTTTAATTATTGTTAACAAACATATCACCACTTGTTTGGTAAATTGTTGTGTATTGTAAAAATGCTATATATATTAGAGTAGAGTCAGAGAAGAGGATCTAATTGAGAAGTAAATATTTCTTCGCTCAATCTTTCTGTTTTCCAAATCTGAAAACATTTTTCAGCTAGATGCATTCCTTTGACATACAAATATCTTCATTGAAGAGAAAGTGCACTGGATGGTAGAACTTATTGTCACTAGCCATGACATATAGAACGTATTTCACATGCTCAAAGCAATCTACCGAAACAATCCAACTTATGAAAGTCGAGAAATCAGATACCTCTTCATCGAATAATACAACACTTAATACAGTTTTTAAAGCGCCACAATATATATATATATATAGTTAATACTAGATAATAAAAACAATCTAAAAATAACAAACAATGACTTACGGTATTTCGGTATTGTCTCCATAGTTCTGTGCATAACTGTGAATAGAAGAAATATAGTAGAAATATTACAAGGGAAATGGAAGAGACTATTAAAGTGAAAAAAAGGATAAACTGTATTAGTAAAGAGCTGTAAAGATTTCTAATTCACACACAAAGCGATTTCAATAAGCCTGACAAGACACTACCGAAATATCTAACGTCTATATTCTGAATCGGCCATGTATGGACTAATATCCTATCACAGTGACCGAATTCTACTCTTACATTACAATGTATTTCGATTGTGTAAAAGTCCAGACAGTCATATTGTTGTGGTGTGATACAGACAATGTCTGCTAACGGAATGTTATGCTCACATATTTCCACAGTTCAATACTGCATACAATATATCTATTCGAACATTCAATTTGATGTTAGACAGAATACATTTCCGGTGGTTATATACTGCATTAACAAAAGAATACTATGTATATTTGAACATCCTATATCATGCTTTTTGATGCAAACCGAAATCACATGCTCAGTGATTGGTTAACGAATATAAACTGTAGATATCTAAACAGCGGTTTGATTAATGAAAAATATACCTTGGCTTCCGTGTCTTGCCTTCTATTGTCACAATATGACCAATTTCGCATGATCGCAGAGAACACACCTGACCGATACTTGCTACCTCGACGTGGCAGTCCCACTTGCTTGTTGCAATAACCCAACGAGCTAGCTTGGATATGTCTTCCTGCACGTCCTACCACGCCAGAAAGTGTAAGTCGCTTGCGCTCTGTTTAGTGTCTGTGGGCGAAGTTGTACTACCAGTAAAAAAGAGGGTAACAACAATAAGATCTCTCTACAAAACGTTCAGAAGACCAGCTATTCCTCCTTCCCGGTCCATTGCCACCCGTAACGTCTTCGAATAGTTATCCTCTGTGTTCCGCGGTTATGCAACGCTAATACTCTTTCTTTCAGGCACCTTAAGAAGAAATCAACATCCACAGTCTGGCAGCTGAGAAACAGAAACGCCAAAAACACCAATTAGCACAAAAAGCTTTTCTGCTTATCACTCACATTCATCTTCCTGCTTTCCTCCCGCTGTTCTGACTATTCCACAGGCAAGTTCTTGACACTCTATGGACTCTGAAGCCATTGTACCGACTTGAACCAGTGAAGTATTGCCCGTAGTTACTTGAAACCGCACTGCCAAACTCATATTAAGACCTTCAACGCCCAGAGCTTATGCGAAATCTGAAAACACATCGCAATGGCCAGAACTCTGAAATCTGGGGTTTTAGGTGCACGTTCTACCTTTGAGACACACATACAAGCCCTCTGTGTGGTATTCAGTTAACCTCACCTGGCCAGCACGGTAAACGTACAAAATTCAGTCACAGGTGTCAGGAGGTTATTTGACTAGCCTCACTGGTGTAGGAACAACATCCAGAGCTGGAATAGAAAACCCACTACTCGAATGGGTTTCAAGAAACAGTCGTAATGTGTACTTTTCGGCTATAAAGATGACTTAGAACAAAACGGTTGATACTCATCAAGCCGACTGCTATTGGGACAAACTAAAGGATGAACATAAAATGCCTACTGGTATCCAACACTTGACATATTTTTTGACCTGACAGAGGCATTTGATTGCACGATCAAGAGATACTGCGACAATGTCTCCATGTGAGAAGAATGGCAAGAAGATATACCGTTTAATCAAGACACTCTACTCAAACTCATGCAATTGTGTAAGGGTTTATGGGAATTTTTCATCTGAATCAGAGATACACAATATCACTATTTCGGCTTCGTTTCATTATGCATGTAGTAATGGAGGTGAACCTAACCGACATCAAATTCAAAAGGAATATCTTGTTACCAAGGTAGTCTCGTCAACCTAGAGTATTCCAATAATACTGTCCTTCTAGGTAGAACCCAGTCTTCTAAACACCTTTAGCAAAAATATTGATATATTTTGCATGCGATTAGTTTCTGTCAAAATATAGGATAATACTGCAGAACTATTCAGCACGAACACTTATTTGAAGGAAAGTGATTGAAATAGTTAAGTGTATTGCCTACTTCACTCATTTAAGAAGTTGCACCAGCCTTAACCGACGGGTGGGTGAGATGGATAAAGAAGCCCCGTTCCACATTTGCCAAACTGTATCATCTTTGCTGCAGACGTGATATCAGTCGACCTGTCAGTGAATGTCTGTAGCGTACAGCAATTCGTATCGTCCTTCTTCACAGCTGAGATGTGAGTTGGAAGTAAGATTTATGAAGAGGCTAGTCATCTTTGACTACAGGCTGTGAAACCGCATGTATTCAGACAGCTAAGACACGTTACGCAAGCCGAGTCATCGCCTACGTTGACGAGCAATGTGTTAGCCAATATAGAATTATGTTTAAGAAGAATTACGGGGAGTCAGAAGAAAAGTCTTTATTTTCCTCTTCGTAACTCAAACCGAAAGTTAGACTGCCTGCTTGAGGTCCTCAAGACTTTAAGAACCGATGGTTGGAGGGTGTTGGGGATATTGTAACAGCAGAAGGCAAGCCACGGAAGCCAAGATATATTCTAAAGCGATCAAACCACTATTTATATACATATGCAGTTTTATATTCTCTAACCAATCGCTGAGCGTGTGATTTTTGTTTACGTTAACCGACATGAAATAGAATGTTCAAATATGCATTGTATTCTGTTGCTAACGCAGTATTGAACTGTGGGAATAATATTCTGACTCTAGCAACGAACATAATGTTCAAATAGATATATTGTGTTCTGTTACTCATGCTGTATTGAACTGTGGGAATATGTGAGCATAGTATTCCGCTGGAACACATTGTCTGTATCGTAGCACCATAATATGATTCAAAATCATTCTTAATGCAGCAAATACATTCATTCCTCGTGATCTTCCATGTAATTATTCTTACTTCCATAGACTCCTGTTTATTGTAGTTTCATTGCATTTCTTTTTTCCTATCTTTGTGTGTAACTTTATGATATGCATGGCAATTTGAACTGATAGATTTTATGCACAGTTCCACACTGGACATTCAGTTCAGTTAGCACAATGTATGTAGAGAGTTCAGATTTTATTTTAATACCTACCCTTTACCATCATCCGTATCATAATAAAAAATAAAGCCAGTAACGTTAATGTATGCTACAATACAAGCATTTAGGTTCCCCTAATTTATTGAAAATAATAAATTTGAGCATTTGTAAAGTCGATATTTTAATAAATCACACTTTTACTTTGATACTACTAATAGTAGCTCATATCAAAATTGTGAAAATATGCAAACGTATATTTGAAAAGAATTTATGTTGCAAGGAATGAAACACCTATTTCATTACAAACACGCATACTTTACTGACTCACAAGTTTAAACAACTAACTTACAACCACTGAGAGAAGTCCGAAATTGCCATTAACTACAGACGGCGAGGATGGGTGGCATAATCGCCAGTCACACAGAAACTGACAAATGAGCAATAATTCTTTCTTCGTTAACTGGAGCACTGCATCACTAATACTATAATGATTTTGTTAGTAACTAAAACGCCATGTAATGCTACATAAAGGCGTTGCGAATTAATACGTAAATACTTCTATAAAAGTATCAAAAAACACTCTTCACATGCTGTATTAAACTAACTAAGGCGTCGGATAAACAACGCTTTTCCATGACAACATAAGTTTGCCATATGTGAACCAAGATGTCAGTTGTGAAAATTTGAAAATCCAGAAAACAGGTGAAAAAAAGAGGAAGCGTACCGTTGAAATATGCCCTTGTTGCCCACATCGTTCACATATAGATCTTTTCAGACTCTTTAACAAATGGCATTCATTCTTGGAGTGACCAGGCGCGAAACACGCATAACAATATACTTTGTCACATTGATCTTTTTCGTGGCCCTCTTCACCACAAAATATACAAAGCTTTATCGGAAGAAAAGAATAGTAAAATGAAGTTTTATTGAATCTATTAGTGTTGAATGAGTTTTAACTGTCTAAAAGTTTGTGAAGAGTTGAGACCATTAACTAGCCGCACTAGGTTTATAACAGTCCGAATCAATACACCGATATTTTTGAAAACCAACTGTCTAAACTACTTAACAACTAGGTAAAGATATCTTTAATTTCCAACAGGAATCATTATAAACAAAAAATTGGATGCTTTCATTAAACATGTATTTCTGCGTGATACATCCAATAAACAAATCAATGTGGAGTTAACTTGTACCTGTGCCCAAGTTTCACATATATTTATTACACACACCCACAAATAGCCACTCGCCTACAATTGATTACATAGATTTAGAAAGTGATCTTTTAATTCACCTCGTAATGTTACGATACACTACTTTATGATTCAGAGTAAGCTCATTAAGAACAACGCATAGATGTAAATTCATAATACCTTGACATGAAATCTGACACAAACACCTGAGATTAGGCTTGCCTTCATTCATATTATACTGTTAATTCCATTTGTAATGAATACTAAGTGACACAAAGCAGTTATTTAATTGTTCCCTCACATGTTACAAGTTCACAACAAAGTACTCTACAAGAACTGCCAGTAATCAGTGATTGCTTAGAAGATCCCTGAACGCACTGTGATATTTTCAGAAAACTTCCTTTGTAATGCACTAAAACATAATTTTCACATAACTGGTAACGCGCGATCCCTATTTACTGATGAAAAACTCTTAAAGTGTCCTAATAACTAATAAACAATATGATTAAATATTACCCACAAACTTTTATTCGGTGTATGAAATGTAGTCAACACATTCCAAAGGTAAAATGACAACATTGATTCATGTGTTCTCCTAAGTAAATTCGTCAAAACGTTGATTGAATGGGTCGCCAACTGCGCTGTTAGTTGAATTCATAACACTTCCGCACGTGCAGTCTTTCTCTACGCTTGGTTTGCATCTATCCTATTCCAGCTGAGGATGTACGGGGACTGTACATGTGTTGTCGTTATTATCTTAGTACAACTGCTTGCATCAAATTAACACCAAGTACTCTGAATTTCGACAGCAAATATTTGTCACCTTGGGACACTTGTCCGTGGTCTTAGACGTAGTACAAACGTCACCCTAGAGGATTCTACACTGTTCACTGTCTCCTGGTACCGGTCGGTAAAAGCGATTTGATACACTTATGTCATAGCACCATTGAAATATAAGGTTAGTTGTGTTGGCAGCTTTTAGTGCACCACAACTCCCTGGGTGGGATCTAAGAGATGAAACTCAATGTCTCCTGACAGCATATATGCTTTGAAAAGAAACCAACAGAGAAAACGTTGCAGTTTCCTTTTTATTCTACTTCCGAAAGTAATATGAAGCAAAGAATCTAGAAGTTTAGCATAAATAATGCAATTAGCATCACAAGGTAGTTTTACTTACATGATGCATTGGCATGCAAGTGGTAATTGTGCAAAGCAGGCAGGAGTGTCATACTTCAACTTAGGAGAAATAATAAGAGGAAACATTCACAAGTACAAAAAAACTTACAGGGTGACACTTGTGGCCCCTCCTTCTGTGATCCCCGCATTCTGAACAGACGGAATCATCTAAACTGTTGAAATACCGAGCATCACTGGAGCGAGATGACTGTCTATCAGCATTACATATTTTCCATATATCTGCATCATCCCCAGATACTGTTTTTCCCAATGTGTGTAAAGCACTATGCTCATTCTCAATATGTAAAAGGGTGTCATGGGAAACACCAAGAACAACACCCCGGGGACTGATTGTAGCCTTATAGCTATCATTGTCACCGCACAACACAACACTACAACCAGAACTTGACGACGAGTTTAAAAGATATTCACTACTCTTTTCACATTCATCCTCAGAAGAAATTGTTCTTTCACGTGCTGAATTTGTCAATGCATCCGTTATATTGTCATTTTGATTATCTACATGCTCCGAAACAGGACTTCTGTACGATTCTGACAGATATGAAAAAGATGGAGTAAGAGGGTTTGTTTGCTCTAATACTGAATTATATGACATTTGTTTGTAGCCTGATTTGTCAAAGAAAACTGCGCTGTATAGACTTGACTCAGTTTCTTCATCAATAAGGTCGCTGTCATATTTTTCTTCCCCGTATGAACGGTGATCCATCACATTCACAGCCGTAGTTCAAACAGGGAAATACGAAATCGAAAAGGAATCAGGAAGTGATAAACTGGTAACAAAGTGAAATGATGTACGACCTAAAAATACAGTGAAAAACAATATAAGGATAAAGGTTAAAATACTCGCAATATTGAAGCGTTAAAAGGAATTTCGATACACAACAATCTTTGAAATCTAAACTATTCAAAATTTATGGAAGAAATTTCTAGTGAATGACGGCAGTAAATTTAATCCCCACTGACTATAATAAACATATTCATTCATTAAATAGTTTATACCAATATACTGCGCTATCAAGGTCACTAACAGTTGAATAATAATTCAAAACTCAAATGCTATAGCCTAGGAAGCGAAAGTATGAGAAGATAACCTGCCATCAGTTTTGTTATAAATGAATTCGGCAACAAACTGTCATCAGAAGTATGAGAAGTAATATGTAACGAAATATATGTCATGGAGATAAATGAGAACAGGATAAGTCACAAACTCTATGGAACTCCAAGGACACCAATAAGTGTTAGCTCAGTGCAGTTGACTACACCAAGCCAAAAACCAATCAAACTCATGCTAATTACAACCAGGTCAAGCAATGTTAAGCAAAAAAGACAGAGGAAGTTGGTGATAGGAGCACTTGAACCTTTGAAGATATTCCGTGATGAATTCAGTAAACGGGACGAGAAGAAGCAACAGCATGCCCACTCCTGTATCCACTGATGACCCCAAGAAACTATTCTTCTCCTACCTCCAAAAAATTACACTTCCTGTTGATAACAGATCTATGCTGTGCTCAACTGCCTGCTCTGCAATCTGTGCCAACTATCCAAGTTTATGAGATAGTGTTTCATCTCCTTAAAGATGCCCACTGAGTGGGTCGTTGGTCTAGGCGCCCGATTTCTGACCAGTAGGTCACGGGTTCAAACGCCTCTTTATTTACCGAGGTTTTGTCGGCCACGTAAAATCACTAGCCTCACTTTCAAACAATGGGTATGGCTCATTGGCAGCTGCATGCAACTGCTTTCTTCTGAACTATATATAGCTTTCAATTTATATAAGCCTAGCTATAACCCTATCAAGACCGGGTCCTAAATATGTGATGTGTTTGTAATACTTTGATTATACTGATTAGTCATACACATTAATGAGCTCAGCTCACTGAGCAAGTTTTCAATTGGATGAACTTTAACCTTCTTGAGTCGTAATGTAGATGTACAAGATAACACTGTTTATTAGATTTTTCTGTTTTCTATCTTCTGTCATCCTGCCTTTTCTCACAATTCAAAAGCATATAAATTGATGGTGACTTGAACTAAAAATTGTAATGATTGTATTCTGGATGCGTTCATCTTATAATGTTTTCTCTGTTACGTTTTAAACACTGAAGTAAGACAATTATACGACAATCTGGCCACTGAAGCTGAGAACGCAATAGGCAAAAGGGATCTGAGGACATTATATCAGATAACCAAGTCTCTATCCGGGAAGAGATCAACACAAGTGAAACCTATAAAAGACAGCCAAGGGAACCCAATCACCAAGGAAGAAAGACAGATTAAACAATGGGCGGACCACTTCAAAGGACTCTTGAACAGACCACTACCTGCAACCCGTCCAGAAATACCAACAACAGCGCGTACACAACTGCAAGTTGACACCAATCCTCTAACAAAGCTGAAGTCTTGAAAGCAATCAAGCTTCTGAAAGCTGGAAAAGCAGTTGGACCAGATGGAATACCCCCGGAAGCACTGAAAGCGGACCCAGAGACGACAGCAGATATGCTGACTCCATTATTGCGAAAGGTCTGGAAGGATGGAAAGGCGCCTACTGACTGGAGGAAAGGTTACCTTGTGAAACTACCAAAGAAAGGCGACTTAGGACTCTGCAAGAACTGGCGAGGAATCATGCTTCTGTCGACGCCAAGCAAAATCCTGAGTCGCATCATCCTGGAGAGAATAAAGGACGCACTGGATGCAGAATTCCGAACAGAACAAGCTGGATTCAGGAAAGGCAAATCATGTTCTGACCAAATTGCAACTCTACGCATTATCATCGAACAAAGCATGGAATGGCAATCAAACCTCTACCTCAACTTCCTTCATAGACTTTGAGAAGGCCTTCGACAGCGTTGACCGCGAAGTAATTTGGAAACTACTCGAGTACTACGACGTACCCCAAATATTCATCAACCTTATTCAACAGCTGTACGATAACGGCACATGTCAAGTGATCCACAAAGGAAAACTCAGTGAGGCATTTGGAGTAAACACAGGAGTCAGACAAGGGTGCTTATTATCACCAATGATATTCCTAATTGTGGTGGACTGGATTATGCGTCAGACAGTGGGAAACGAGAACACAGGGATATCCTGGACCGACGTGAAGAATCTAGAAGACCTGGATTTCGCAGATGACTTATGTTTGATGTCACACAAAATCGAAGACTTACAAACGAAAACCGGCAAACTGGTCGAAGAAGCAGCAAAGACAGGACTCCAAGTGAACATAGACAAGACGGAGGTTATGAAAATAACCAACCAACAACAAGAACAGCAGCAGCAACATCCAGCGCCAACCACCATCAACGGGAGGGATTTGAAAGAGGTTACTTTATTCACTTATCTAGGGAGCATTGTCTCAACTACAGGAGGAACGAACGAGGATGTCAAATCGAGAATCGGGAAGGCAAGAAACACATTCATCAACCTGAAACCAATCTGGAAATCTTTGTCACTCAACATCAACAACAAAATTCGGATTTTCAATACAAACGTCAAGTCAGTTTTGCTATACGGATCAGAAACTTGGCGGGTCACAAAGAATGAGTATTTCCAACAGGTTGCAGACATTTATCAACAACTGTCTTCGCTCCATACTGAAGATTAGATGGCCGGAAAGAATCACCAACAAGAAACTATGGGAACAAACAAAACAAGAACCAATCGCCCAACAAATATACAAAAGAAAGTGGAGATGGATTGAACACTCGCTGAGGAGGCCGCTGGGTGACATCGCGCGTCAGGCCATAGCTCGAGTGGAACCTGAAAGGGAATCGGCGAGTGGGACGTCCAAGGGTGACATGGAGGAGATCATGTGAAGAGGAGTTGAAACAGTATGGATTAACATGGATGCAAGTGAAAAGTACAGCAGAAGACAGAAGCAAGTGGAGACGTGTAGTTGAAGCCCTATGTCCCACTAGGAACCCAAGGGAACAATAATAATAATACAAACATATCAAGATTTTTGCCCAGTGTTTAGAAGAGTGCATTTCGTCAGCATCCTCACGTAGATGAACAATATTATCCGCATACTGCAAGCCCTTCTCCAAGTCACGAAAGTCAATCAGGGTCACAAGTGCATCGAGTTATTCAGTTTTCGTCAGCCTCTAGGAAGCTGATATGCTTATAAGCACCAAAAATAGGCTTTAAGAAAGCAGAAGTTTTTGACTGGTTTCAACAGACAGGAATATCTGGAAAATACAGTTTAGCAATCTCATTATTGTGGCTGCATTACAGCCTATGATGAGCTATCTATTGGAGTATAAACGACAGATTATGTTCATCAAGAATATCCAATCCCGATTTTTTAAAATCAACTTTATGATATTCGTATGAAAGTCCAGAATTTGTCAACCAGATCTGTGGTCATGTCATACACAATTACCTGGCAAAGATGCCAAGATATATACAGTTATTAACCTACAACGATAGAGTCCACAACGTCATAGTGATCTTGAATCATCAATCAGAATTTAGATGTAAAATAATCAAATAGTCGTTGAAAAAATGCATTGTTAACATTGCAGACATGATAGCACGCTGGGCACCTGTCGCTTGTGGTGAAAGAATGTTTCCCAGTCATTACAGATTATCTATAGAGGGCGAGAAATCATACCGTGAGCAATAGATGTATTCATCTAGGTGACTGAAGATCATAGTGCTTTGAGAACCATTGATATTTCTGGCGCTGTCCTTTAAAATACACCTAACTTTAAGGCTAATCCTAACCTCAACTCTAGACCCCAACACCAAAAAACATAACCCTATTTTACATTATGGATTTACAGAAAAAGTACTTAGATAATAAGTAGAATACAGTAACAACTCTCAGCGAATTCCCCCGACATGATTTAATTTGGAATGAACTTTCACAACGTTCCCTAAATCAGAGGTCAACTTTTAGCGGACGACATTAACTATGGTACTTAAAATTCGCCAAAGGATCCTTTAATAGTTTTTACCCCCCAGGTTGCCTTTAATAGTTATCTTTTTGCTGTAAGTAATTCTCAATCTCCACTCAAATGTCACTCTTCCTGCCAACCTCACAAGCTACTTCACTAACTCAGTGAGATGTACTCCCGACTGGTATACGTCTTTAGAATGTTGCGGAGGCACCACATGTCAAATCAACCTATTACTAACAGTCTTTTCGCTCCCTTTAAAGCAAGATCACTTAACTTAGTCAACCGGTGGTGGTGCTTTTCATTAACAGAAGGTCACATCATTTATACAATTCATGCTGGACTTTAGAGGTGTGTATAGTGGGGTGAACAGAAATAGAAACATAATGAGTTAAATATTGAAAACACTCCTCTACTGATGGGCTATCCTAACAACACATAGAAGCTGTGATTATGATTACGAGGATATTCACTCAAACATTGCTCAGAAAAATTCGCAAGGCCATTCAACTTAGGTACACTTAATAACTCAAATTTTTCGGTAGCTTTGTGAGACATAAATTTTGGAGCACAGTGTCGTGAACGTGTAGAAACCTGCGAACAACTGTCCACTCGGTAAAAACTAGGTGGCACAGTGGTTAGGACTCTCGCCGACCATGCACATGGTCCGGGGTTCGATCCCCTGACGGCGCACACCCGATATCTATGGTCGGCCTGTAAATTTGGGCTACCGATATCCATGCTGAAAATTCCATACTTGTACTGAAAATACGGCGTGGAATCAAGCTGTAATCAAAATAAAAATAAATAAAAAAAACTCACCGTAAAGCAACAGTTTAAAATCTCGCAGTAGATGTACGATTTTCAACGGTTGTGAGTGATCATTACCTAAATTTTCATCTTTTGGCAGGAAGGGTTAGGCTTTGATAAAGTACTTGAACATTATACGAGTAGGCTTTGTTCAGCTTTCTTTGGCTAAGAGGTTCATCAGGCTTAAGACAACATGGCCTTCAGAATATATTTCAACTGATGAATAGACAATTAGATCTGCAAACCTAAGACCAGTGATTAGATTCTAGAGTATATTGCATCCCTGTATTTGAGCGTTGTTAGTGCCCTGCTAAAAGAAAAAAATAATTACATCCTACTTAGTAACGGAAGGAAACGTATTTCTTTTTATGTTGCTCCTAGAATTAGTGTGACATGCACCGATGAATGTTTATTAAAGGCCTTAGCTAAATAGTCCCTAGTAGTTTCTGTTTTATCCAGATCACTCAAGAAGAGCTGAGATCGTTTCGCATTACAGTCAAGGTGGAAATTCCATATCTTGTTTCGTTTCTATGACACATAAACTAACAGTACCTAATGGTGCACCACTGGAGCTTAGACAACCTACATGCGGAAATGAATTCTGAATTAGGATCTGTTTTTAACCGAGCGTAAGCAATTTAAAGCCTCTCTGAAGCATCACAAATGTATCTCTAAGTTCATCCCAAAGTTATCACAATCATTAAGCAATGTGATATGGCAAATCACAAATGAAAGTAACTAGCGTATACTGCTAAATACCACACACTTACGCCCCCTGTCTAAGTCACTTTTATCGGTATCAGTAAATTATGTTGAAAAAGTTTGTTAACTGTGCCCTCATACAATATATTTGCATGTTTTCTGCAAATGTTAAATCTCAGTGTTGACTAGTCATTCACGTCTTCTTCATATCACTTTTGTATGGGTGGCCGTTTAATGCAGTTATTTCCTCAGCTTTAAAAATTTCCGTCACCTGGTTAGTTGATCCATGTCACTGCGGTTAGCTCATGTGTTTTTGTATCGTTTCATTTATTTTCAGAACCTTTAGGAATGTATTGTTTCCAGTCCTTTCATTAGCTGTGGTAATTGTTCCTGGTTCAAATAGTTGCTTACCCGAGCTCATTTTTAAATCTTGAGAAAACCATGTTTCACAGATATTTACAGCATCCAGCCATCAGCAAATCAGTCGGATGAAGCGATTGTATGATCCTTTTGGCGTAGGCAGGGTGTTTGAAGCCGCGGTAGAAGGGTGGTACAGCATAAATTTGTTTACTTTCAGCTAACAAATACTCGATATATTGCTTAAAAAAGCAAACTTCACAACGAGTAACCACACTATTGACATGTCTGTTTTGTACAGCTGGAGAAGAGACCTGTGAATATTTTATCATAGATAAAATAGAGAACAGGTGACCTGAATGATTGTTAATGCTTGATATTATTATAATTCCTTCGGGTTCCGAGAGGAACATAGGGCCTCATTATCAGGTCTCCCTTTACCTCCGCCCACGATTACCTCCTCCTCACACGATCTCTTCCATTTCAACCTAGGACGATCCACTCGTTGTTTACCACTGAGATTCCCCTCGAGGTCCTTGGGTGCCATGGCCTTCGTTGGCCTCCTCAGAGCCTGTCGAATTCTCTTCCGTTTTCTCCGAAATACTTGTTGAACGACAGGTTTTCATTAATTCGTTCCCATAGTTTCTTGTTGCTGATTCTTTCTGGGCATTTGATCTTCAGTATTGAGCGACGACAGCCGTTGATAATAGCCTTCAACCAGTAACAAATGACTGATTCTCCAACCCATATAGAAGAAATGATTTCATATATGCGTCGAAAACCGAATCTTGTTGTCTGTGCTGAGTGCACAAGATTTCGAAACTGACTTCATTTTAATTAAGGCGTATCTCACTTTTCCGATTCATCTCTTCCGAATGCCTATGGTTGAAACAATGCTCCTTGGATAGGTGAAAGAAGTAAACTCTATAAAACTTCTTCCATTGATGGTGATTGGTGCTGTTTGTTGCTGCTGCCGGTGGTGGTGGCTATCTTCATTACCCATGCCTTCTCTCTGTTCACCTAGAGTTCGCAGCCTCCTTCTTCTGCAGAGTGACATTGGACAGAAGTCGTTCGCGAAGTGTAGATCTCTTACTATTATTATTTCCTTTAATTCCTAGAGGAACATTGCGTTCGGTTCTCTGCTAGAGTCTTTACCTGGTTCCAAGCCTGCCCACACGTTTTCATCTCCTCTTCACATGACCTCCCCCAAGTCACCCTCGCACTGACGACCAACTCGCCGATTCCATTTCGGGTTCCACTCGAGCAATGGCTTGTCTAGTGATGTCACTTGATGGTTTCCTCAGAGCATGACCAATCCATCTCCATTTCTTCCTGCCTATTTGTTTCACAATCGGTTCTTGGTTGGTTCGGTCCCAGAAATCCCTGTGTCTGATCTTTTCTGGCCATCTGATCTTGAGTATTTAGCGCAGACAACTGTTAATGAAGGTCTGTAGTTTGTTTGAGATTCTCTTTTTGACGCGCTGGCCACGTCTCTGATCCGTATAGTAGCACTGACTTCACACTGGAGTTGAAAATCCGGAGTAGATCTCTTAGAGTCTTCTTGTCCGTCCAGCAAAATCTTATCTTCTCACTACCGATAGTCTAACGTTTAGTCCGGTCTACCACCATTTGGAATATGATTGGTGTTAGCAAGCAGCCTTTTTTATTCCTCTCTTCACTTCAAAAGCTCCATCAAGTGTGGCACTGCCCTATTAGCAGTTGAACGAGACTGATAAAGTCTTCGGCACAACGCCAAGGTGTTGAAGTAGTTTCCAATTTCTTCGCGATCAACGTTGTCAAGGGCTTTCTTGTAGTCGACAAATTTTTGGGAATGATGATTCCTAGCACTGCGATTTGATCCCAGCATGATTTGCTTTTCCTGAATCCACATTGTTCTTGGTGAAATTTTGTATCCAGAGCATTCTTCAGTCTCCAGAATGACTTAACCTATTATTTTGATTGGAGTGGACAAGGGCGTGATTCCCCACTAGATCTCCCTTCTTTGGCAGTTTGGCAAGATAGCCTTTCATCCAATCGGTAGGAACCTATTTTTCTTTCCGAACCCTTTACAATTTTGGTGTGAGCACACGTGCCGCAGTATCTGGGTCCCTTTTCAGTGCTTCGGGGGAAGGCTAATTCCGTCTGGTCCTGCTACCTTCCCGGATGAACTTCAATAGCTTAATCGCATTCAGGATTTCTGCTTTTGTTGAAGGAGTGATGTCAAATGGCAGAAAGTTCTGTGCATGCTGTTGATTGTGGTGGTATTTCTGGGCGAGTTGCAGATGATGGTTGATTCGAGAGTCCTTTAAAGTGAGCAGCCCGTTGTTTGATTTGTTTCTTCTACTTCGTAATCAGGTTCTCTTGAACACCTTTTATTGCTTTCATCATCTGAATTGATCTCTTCCCGGTTAGAGATCTGGTTATCTGATATAATGTTCTGAGGTCTCTTTTACCTACCACCTGACTGTTCTGCTTTATTCGTCAGTATGTCGTAGAATTACGTTTTGTCTCCCCTAGCACTCTTCTTCACTTCTTTATCCAGTGCAGTGTACATCGCTGTGAACTCAGCTTTTCCTTCTGTTGCTCATCTTTGCATTGAGTCATCCTCCCTTCCACCAAACCTGTTTTTTCGATTAGCTTCCAGGTTGATATCTGTTGAGAGCCATTCCTTGTCGTGTCCCTTCTTTCTTCTTAGAAAAGTTGTACACATTTCGTTGAACGCCACATTCAGAGAGTTCCAATGTTCTTCCAAGCAGGCTTCCTCGGTGATGCCATGTGGTGTCTCCGACTTTGCTCCAACCTAATCCATAGTGAAGGCATCCCCTATAGTTTCGTCCTTCATTTTCTGAATGTTGAGCTTGAATTGCAATGGTCCGTCTCCATATGTTTTGAGGGATTTCAGCCTCACCTTGAAGGTCCATCGAGGTAGATGATTATCTGAGCCCGTTCACATCTGCTCCCTTTCGCGACTTTGTGTCCAGCAGACTGGCCGCGTCTCCACTTCCTTGAGCAGCATTGAGATGAAGTCTATCTGGTTTGTGGTGTGTCCATCAGGCGAAATCCATGTTGCTTTGTGTATATCCTTGTGCTTGCACACGCTACCTCCGATCACCAAATAATTGAAAGCGCAGAAGGTTGCTGATAATTCTCCGTTCTTATTCATTTCGCCCAGAGCCTTTCGACTGATGATGAGTTTTCTTCCTGTACTGTCTGCTCCCACCTGGCATTCTTATTGCCCATAATGATTTTGATGTGGCCTAATTATCTATTAATGCTGCGATTGTCTATAGAAATCTTCCTCCTTCTATTGTTCAGCGTTGTTTGTAGGCCCGAAGCACTGAATAATTGTAACCTTCCTTACTTTTGAGTTAAATCGTGTTGTCATAACCATGGATGAAATTGGTTACCGATGCATTAGAGATTTGGACGCTGTTGGTAACATTATGGTAGCCACTCAACGCCTCAGTATGCTCGTAATTGTGGTCTGGGTGACCGATAATTACACTATGTAAGTAGCCCAAACAAATATACGATTCACATCTCAATGTATATGATTAGAAGTCTTTCAACCCATCTCATTTCTTTTACATGAAGTGTGTGAAGTCATCTTGCCTCAAGGTTCTGCTTCGTGGCTGAACAACAGTGCAACGTAATTGTGAGTCATAATCCTACGTTATAATGCAGAGTGATGCAGAAGAGAAGGCTTCAGTCTGTGTCATATGCTGGTTTTATGTACATTTGTTTCATATGTACAACTGTAAAGACGATAGGAGCAGCTTCACCTGTGAAACACAAAAGAGTGCGCCTGACAAACCAACTGACACGACACACTGGCGAGTACGAGGAGGAACGATAATCCCGAAAGCGAAGCAATAGTGTGTGTTATAAAAAGAAATACAGATTTGAATGCAAGTATTCAGGATACAAGTTCAGTGTTTGATCATCCATGTTCAATCTATTTACATCATTTGAAAATTCGTCTGCTGCACTCACCC